ACAAAGAAAGTGAAAAGTACATTTGTCCAAGTGGTACAAGATACCATTTATAAATGTCATTTATAAAAGGAAAGATGCCATATGTTTTTGGAATTGAAGGGTTAAAATTGTTAAAATAGCCACAACTAAAGCAGACTACTACTAATGGAATCACTATCAAAAGTCAAGTGTCATTTATATGAAAGTAGGAAAACCATTACAATTCATACCACATCATAAAATTCAAAATACATATGCATATATAACAATTAATAAGAAACTAGGCTGTGAGTTAGAATGAGAGCAAGAAGGGATAGAGAGCAGGAAGGAATGACAGAGCAGGGAGGAGTGAGAGAGCAGGGAGGAGTGAGAGAGCAGGGAGGAGTGAGAGAGCAGGGAGGAGTGAGAGAGCAGGGAGGAGTGAGAGAGCAGGGAGGAGTGAGAGAGCAGGGAGGAGTGAGAGAGCAGGGAGGAGTGAGAGAGCAGGGAGGAGTGAGAGAGCAGGGAGGAGTGAGAGAGCAGGGAGGAGTGAGAGAGCAGGGAGGAGTGAGAGAGCAGGGAGGAGTAAGAGAGCAGGGAGGAGTGGAGAGCAGGGAGGAGTGAGAGAGCAGGGAGGAGTGAGAGAGCAGGGAGGAGTGAGAGAGCAGGGAGGAGTGAGAGAGCAGGGAGGAGTAAGATGTAATGAGTCTTCATGTTTCTTTCCAGCCATCTCTCAAATATTGACATAGTTATTAATTATGAAAGTTCAACCTTAGTTTAGTCTTGTCCCACTAGCTCTCATAACATAAACAATTACTATTAATCTGTGCTTTCCCATGTGGCGATTTTCCTTTCTTTCATTCTGTATGTTGGACTTACTCCATGTCTCACTGGTGTCTCACCTGTACCTCTGTTTTCTCCTCCTATTTGTTTTCTCTGTCCAGAAGTCTCACATATACCTCCTGCCTAGCTGTTGGCCATTCAGCTCCTTTTTAAACCAATCACAACAATATATCCTCACAAAACATAGAAATACCCCACAATAGTAAGATAGCAAGGATAGTTTCAGAGTAAGGAGAGTGAGAAATCAAAGAGAGCTAGAGAATAACAAAAGATAACACAGCCAGAAAGACTAGAAAGCAAGGAGAGACCTACTGGGTTATTTGGAGGTGGATAAGTAAACAGGTAAATGATGTCATTGCATTATAAAACCCCCAAACAAAATAAATATAAAATAGACTAAGAAATCTTGACTAAAAACTAAAGTTATATGGACCACACTGTATAATTGCAAAGCTAAAATAAAGTGGACTGAGACCCACAGAGAAACAAACACAAAAGACATATAATAGAGCATAATTATAGCTATGGTGTACCTCAGTCACTTTTCAACCAAAGTTCCAAGTACTCACAATTTGGAAGATATTGTCCCTCTAAAAACTATTTCTAGGAAAATTGGGTCCATACTTGTAGAAGAATGAAATTATTTGTTTATCTCTGACCAAATTTTATAAAAAAGTCAATATTTAAGCTTTAGACAAGTAATTTTACAATGTTGGAACATAGCAGGAATGTCCACTCATGTTAGTCTGTAGAATAATTTCACTCTCATTACCTTAAAAACACAGTTAAAAAATTAATGTAATAAATAGGTAAAACCAAAGGCAACAATGAGCAGAGGGAACACAGCATGCATCATTGCAGATTTGTCATTTGATAAGAAGATAATATCCAGGTTATATAAGAGAACCAACTTTCTTAATAGCAAGACATCAGATTTAAAAAAAAAAAAACAGTAGCAGAACCTTAAAAGACAGATTTATAGAAAAATACAGGTAGCCTATATGTATGTAACAAAGCAAATCAAACCTTCATTACCTCTAACAATCAGGAAATACAAATTAAATCCATGAGTAGATATTGTCTCATGTCTAACAGAATGAGCCTTATAAAAAAAATAAACTTGTATGGCCACTATGGAAATCAATATGGTGGTTTCTCAGAAAATAGGGAATTGCTCTACCTCAAGACTCAACTGTACCCTTAGTCACACACCCAAAAGTCACTCCATTCTACCACAAGGACACTTGCTCAATTATGTTCACATTGTTTTTATTCATAATAGTCAGAAACGGGAAACAACCTATGTGTCCTCCAACAAATGAATAGATAAAGAGGATATGGGATATTTACACAATGCAATATTACTCAGCAGGTAACAAAATGACATCAGAAAATTTACAGGCATATGGATGGAACTAGGATGGAACTAGAAAAAAAAAAAAAAAAACATCATGAGTGAGGTAACCCAGACACAGAAAGTAAAACAAGGTATGTACTCATTTATAAGTAGATATTAGCTGTTATGTAAATGATAATCTTACCACAATCTACAGATCCATAGGAGCTAAGAAACAAGAAAGACTTTAGGGTGATCCCAGGATCTCCCTAGGAAGTAGAAATAGAGTTGATTTTTAGGTGTACTAGGGGCAAGTAGGGGTGTGTAATAGGTGGGAACAGGCAGTTGAGGGAAGAAATGGAGAGAATGAGTACAGGGATGGAGAGAATTAGAGGGCATAGGGGGTGTGGAAACCTTGTACAAAGGAAACTCAATGCAATTCTCCAGGGTGACCCTAGTAAGGACTCCTCATAATGGAGGACACAGAGACTGAATCAGCCATCTTCTGTAACCAGGCAAGGTTTCCTGTGTTGGGAGAGGAACCCAGCCACAAAACCTTCAACCTGCATACAAGATGTTCTGGATCAGCGGTGGCACTGGACTTGTGAGACTGACCAAGCAGTAACTGGTCTAATTTGAGGCCCATGCTAGGAGGGGTGCCCGCTCCCCATATTTCCTGGATGATCAGGAACTGGAATTTGGATAGGCCAGAAATCTAGGGTAGAATCAAACACATCTGGCAAAGCAAAGCAAAAACAATGAAATGATTCCTAATATTCTGCTATACTCATAGATTGGTGCCTAGACCAGTCATCCTCAGAGAGACACTGACTGGAGCAGAAGCATAGACCCACAGCCAAACAGTGTTAGATGGGCAGAGTCTAGGCTAGAAGTGTCCATTGGGTCCCTCCCTTTGGAGTTTGTGGAAACACATGCAAGAGATTGAAGAGGAATTGAGAGAGTAAGAATGAAGGAGGACATTGGGAGAACATGGTCCACAGAATCAACTAAGCAGGGCTCATGGGTGCTCATAGAGACTACAGCAGTAATTGGGGAGCCTGCATGGGTATTCAATAGGTCCTTTGCATTATAGTTGTTGGCTTGGTGTTTTGGGAATGCTCCTAGCAGTGTGTCTCTGACTCTTTTATCTGTACCAAAGATCATTCTTGTAAGCCACATATGCTCAGTTACAAATTTTAAATAATAAGTAATTTTTTATTTTATTTTATTTTTATTTTTGAGAAAGGGTTTCTCTGTATTTTCTTGGAGGCTGTCCTGGAACTTTCTCTGTAGGCCAGTCTTAACTCGAACTCCCAGAGATCTTCATGCCTCTGCCTCCTGAATGCTGGGATTAAAGTTGTTCACCAGCAATGCCCGGCTTTTTTTTTTTTAAGTAATTTTTGATTTAGTAGATTCAGCCTACACCTGGCTCCAAATATTGAGAATTGCATATTCAATGATCAATTAACTATCTTTTTCCATAACACACAGTCATTATACTGAATTTAAAAATTGAAATGGCTCATTTTTAATCATCTTTCTTTGTATAATTACTAATAAATAATATTTCACCTCCAATATAAAAAGCAGCAAAGCCTGATGTCAGTATATGTATTTGGTTAATTTATGTCTTATTTTCTACCTAAATCTATGCTTTCTTCATTATATCTGCTAAATATATGCAGAATCTGTGCATTTTTCTTATTTCCTTTTGCTTTCCCATTTACATCAAAATCCTTTCATTCACCATTAATCAGTGGACTGTGAGATATCTCATCTTCTTCTCATTTATTGTTGACAAGATCTCAATTTAAATCTAGGCCAAACTATGTTGATTCCTCATAGGAACCCTTCACCATGGGGATAAGAAAATGGTGTTTAGGTACGGGTGGGGCTGGTTGGAGGAGGTAAGGGGGCAGGAGGAAGTGTGGGAAGGAGAACTGTGGTTTGAATGTAAAATGAAATTAAAAATAAAAACATGGCAAAAAAATAGACCTCATTATTCAGCCTCATTTTCTGATATAGTTTCTATCTTGCTCACTGTTTTTTGAGCACCCTGTCTTCTTTTATTCTAGAACTCTACATACAAATCTCTGCAATATTGTTCTCATAAGTACTCCTTTCTTCCAGTCTTCCTATTTTCTTTAGCTTACTCTCCACATCTCAGTTCAGCTAACACAAAATTTGCTAAATTCTCTTGATGCTTCCAACCTTGCCTAAAAGTCAAAGGGTTTGTTACAAAGGTACCCGTTTCTCCATAATCTGACATTGTTGCCCTATAATTATGATTCAATCCTACAATCAGATTCTAAGCTCTGGGAAGCCCTGGGCCATTTATTAGTCTCCATGACTTCTGCTATTAAGGTGGTCATCAACAATTCTCTGTGACTCAATTGGTCACTAATGATAAGAACAAATACTATTATAGGATTTATTCAACTCTTTTTTCTCTTTTATTTTATTTTTATCATTTTTTTATTTGAATTAGAAACAAGACTGTTTCACATGACAATCCCAGGTCTCTTCTCCCTCCCTTCCTCCCCTACCACCCCCCCCAACTAAAACCCTACGTATCACATGTATCACATACCGTTTCTTCTAATCTTCACATGATTCAAGCTTTCTGCTCCTCATGACCTCAACATCCTTTCTCTTCTTCCCTTCTCATTCTCGTAGCTCCCTCCCCCTTCATCCCATGCTCTCAATTTGCTCAGGGGATCATGACTCTTCCCCTTCTCCAGGGGACATTATTTGTCTCTTTTAGGGTCCTCTTTGTTTACTAGCTTCTCTGGCAGTTTGGATTGTAGGCTGGTAATCCTTTACTCTATGTCTAAAATCCACATATGAGTGAGTACATAAACAATAGGGTAGGAATGCATTTAATTTACTGCACAAGACTGTCTTTATGTATAAATTTTTGCTGAGAGTGACTGATTACCACTGAGTGTGATGTCATCTGAACATAGACTGCTCCTCCCTCATAGAAGCAGTCTCATGTAGAATGCATACTTGGTCACATGATTTCAGCAAACAGGTATATCTGGGACATGGTTAGACAATGGACAACATACAAAGATTATAATGTGACCAACTTGGAGAATACAGGGAAAGTTTGCTTAGACAGGATGCATTGGAAAGGGGCATGTGGAGTGCCCTTGTCTCTCCTCTTCCTGAACCTAATCAATCCTGCTGAGTAAAAGGCTAAGTGATAACTGTTCAGTGTCATGTGTGCATGCTAATTGTCCCATATTTGTTAGGGGTGCTAACTGTTTTCTCTTCTCAATGGAAGTGTGAAATTTTAAGGTTATGGGATGAATCAATATTTTCTTTGAAATTCTGAAATACAGCAGCATGTGAAAATTGTTGTGTTTTGTTCAAAGCTTCAACAGTAGCAAGCATGCACTTCATTTTGAGATGTCACTTATCATTTTGACTGTCACTGTTCCAGTTCTGTCTCCTAAATCTATTTTGCCAAGCTCTAAATTTGTGGAATTCAGACACCTGTGGTGAAGATATCAAGTTTATTTGTGCATAGAGAAATATAAGCAAATGATATCTTAAAATAGTTAGTGGTGCCCAACCAGGTCAGAATTAAGAGCCAAGTCTAAGAACTCTGTTGACACTCTGGCTACCAATGGTCTCTCGGAAAGGAGGAATTAACTGCCTGCAGTTGTGTATCTATTTAGGAATCTACCTGACTCCAATAGACAGTCCCTTCTCATGGCTGCACTGATGATCAAGGTTATACTAGATGTGTCTAAAAAAAACAAAAGACTCATTGGTGTATGAAAGGGAATTTTAGAGAGGAGAGTAATTATAAGGATAGAATAAAACCAAAGAGGGTGTAAGGTCATCGTAATCAAGTTGCACTTTCAAAGAATGAATTCAATAAAAAAAAGATATGTTCCTCATATTGTGTTCTGAGCATCAGTTCAAATAAAGGGAAACCCAACAGCAACAACAAACAGGATAGTCTTTCAGGGTCGTTGGAGACTTATTGCATCATTCAGAGAAATGTCACTTCTAATTGGCATGATTCCTAAAACAGGTACAGAATAATGGAACTCTTGGCTTCCTGTGGGGAAGAGAAATTACACAAACATAAGCATTCTGCTGAGGTATGTGCAGATTATAATATCACCCTGTAATTCTGGCATATATGTTCACAACAGAGAAGAACCCAAGAATGTTTAAGTGCTACAGAGATGTTTAAGTGATCTTCCCTACAGAGATGAAATCTAGACATATAGAACATAGGTCTTTCAAAACCCACCCTGAGAAAGTACCATCTAAATCTGAGACTTTTAAGAAAGAAGAACACCCTTTGTAGCGAAATGAAAAAGTGGCACCCTTCAGAGTTTCCCTGCTGTCCCCAATAATTTTTGTCAGACCTAGGAACCTGGGCCAGAATGAGTTTTGTTTCTCTAGTAGTCTTTATCCAAACTTTTCCTAGTGCACACACACACACACACACACACACACACACACACACACACACACGTATAAAGACATTGATACAACATACTTTGTTTTAATGTCCTGGGAAGAGGTAGAAACGTTTTGTCAAAGTCACCCTTTCAGTGGTGGGCATCTGTAAACTATAACTTGGTTGTTCAAATGAAAATCGAACCTAGAAGAGAAAGAGAGATTTATAGTCAATATATTAAGAAAGTAGAATCTTGACTTGAGATAGAAAAAATTGCACTGACTAGCACGATAATAAACAACTCAAGGTATTTGTAAGAACCACAGCTGTGAGAATATTCCCAGACTATTAAGCTCTCTCATGGGAATTGACAAATATGATGGACACAGAGATATTAGATTCTGCTCCATTTTCTACTAAAGACAGGGTAGAGGTTAATATAAATGATTATTTCTTAAGTCTTGTGATCATAAAATGTTGGCACCATGTGGGGATAGTTGACTAACTGAAAAGAAAAAAATAATGATACAAAGTTCTTTACAAATGACAGCATTTTTACAAGACAAACATATTCAGATCTTTCCCATTAGAAGCAGCTTAAAACACCAAAGACCAGGGGAGTATAATGGATAAAGCATTTGAAATACCTTTCTGAAAATGTCCTCCAAGTCACAAGACCATGCATATTCTTTCATTTGCTTGATGAGTTCCACAATGAAAAGAGAGCCCTTGAGAGGATGTCTCCAAGAAACATTGTCTGTAAATAACATATATTTCAAATCTTATGACAGGCCTTACCCGAGATACAGGCCACCATAGCCTTTCAACTCTAGCTGGAAACATTAAAGAGTCCATACTGTATCCTATAAATTGCCTGCCATTCTTCAATGAATATATACATAAAATTCAATGAATACCTCTTCCCTCTTACTTAAGGTGGTGGCTGTATGCATTGCAGATTTTTAGATGGAGTAGTTTCTGATGTCAAGGAGGTGAAAAATCTAGTAGAGAGACAATCCCTGGGGTAAGAATGATTAGGTTTGGGAGAATAACTATCTGTTATATGGTGTCTTCAGGATGCCTTGCAATGACTCTGGTTTAAGTCTGTTGTACATTTTAAAATGTAAAGTTTTTAATTACAAGTTGAGAGTAATTATTTCTAGTTAAAAAAGAGATATTTGAAGAATACATAATAGGTACAAATATCTGAACAGGGGGAAAGGAAATGAGGAGTAGAAGCAGGTATCTCTGAAAGAACATGCACAGTGAAGAGAATAAAAGGCCTGATTCTTTTCATAAAGTCCTACTAAGGCTAGATTCTTTTCAAACAGTTCTTACTTGTGGTTGGGGCTTACACAGGCAAATTTCAGCTGGGTGTGGTAGTGGGGTATATAAGACAGGTAGAGTCTGAATCATTTACAAAGAATAGTAAAGACAGCAAAAGAAGGAGACACACAAACCAGCAGGGTGGATGGCAAGAATGGAAGGCCTGAAGAAGTCTCTAAAGCCAGAGAGGAATGTGTGATGCAAGATGAGAAGAAATGATATAAAAGGATATTTAAACCTAATAAAAAATTTGGCTGCATTCTTAAGCTGGAAATGAGCCAGGCGTTGGTGGCGAATATCTTTAATCCCAGCACTTGGGAGGCAGAGGCAGGCAGATCTCTGTAAGTTTGAGATCAGCCTGGTCTACAAAGTGTGTTCCAGGATAGCCAAGGCTACACAGAAGAACACTGTCTCAAAAAACTGAAAAAAAAATACACAAAGCAAAAAACAATCAAAACAAAAACCGAAACTGGAAATGTGTTGGTGTTTGCTATGGTGTTTTAAAATTAAATACATTTGTTCTTTGACAAAAATACATTTTTTTCTTTCCTATATAGAATATATCTGAGTATGTTTATTCCTTGCCCTCCTACTCATAAACCAATACCTCCCCCTTATATGTCCCTTTCCTGTGTGGATGTAATTTTTATGATTCATTGAGTGTAATCAGGGATGTCTGTGTGACCAATGGTATGAAACCATGCATTAGAGTTTCACTGCATATTACTTGGTATGTTTCTGAAGATGATGCTCTATCTGCCAGAATGTATCACTAGCTATTAGGTCTACAAAGCCCTATGAACCTAGATTGTATCAATAGCCATGATGTTTTATCACTGGATAATAATATACTGAGACATACATTAAAGCATGGTCTACCCAGTGTAGAAGTATATTATATCTGGAGCTTGTGACCATAGTCAATAATTTAATCTGTAAGGTATTTGATCAGAGGCAGAGTTTTAAGAATGCATTTGAGTAAATGAATGTAGGCCTTAGGAAATGCAAAATTCAGGAAACGAAAGACTCAAATGAGTTTTATTTGAGCCTTAACATAATAAGTGACTTGAGTTAGATTGCAAGCTAAAACCTTGATAATAAGAATAGCTTTATATTAGATATTTTAGGAAATGTCCAGTATTCCATACATGTTTCATCTTATTCGATCATTCTCACAATGGCAGGATATTTACAAATATTGGTGAGAAATTCAAAGAAATCTCAGCAAGATGAAACAACTATATTTAATATAATATGTAATAAATAACAAGTGTCAGGATGTGAAATATAACTGTTTAGTATACATTCCAATTATTTATGAATACCTGTTTTCATGTATAAAACCCTCTCACATTAAACCCACTTAATCTCCAATATGTACTATAGGTTAGCTGGTCTGTGTGTTTTCAGGAGGTGGTCCTTTGCCTTCCCTCCCAACTACTCATAGCAACGTTGGGATTGCAGGTGCTCATCCAGCTTGGGCTCAGAGGACCTAAGACACTGTGATCAGTTTTCCTATCCGTACATCTCACAAATCAGAATTCTGGAAACACTTGATGCCTGTGCATCACTGGTGTCCTGACTAAGGCCAGTGGTGTGCACCTTTAAGATTCTAATCAGCTTTACCATACATATTCATCTATTTATTTCTCTGTTATACATATTCATCTATGTATTTCTCTGTTGTCCTTGATAATTCTAGGAGAAACATTGTGCAACATGAAAGAGTTTGCTATTTCAGACAAAATGTAGATATATTTTGTCTTTGTGGATGAGGGGGTTTGAATATGGAGTTTTAAAGTTGTCATTAAATGTCTTGTGTAATAGTAAGTATGGAGCCTTTCTTTCAAACAGTAACCCTGACAAAGATCATCTACATAAAAAATTCCTTTTACCTGGTGTTGAAGAGCAGAAAGCAATAAAATCCTTCTCTATGTGCGCTTTCTTAATGCCATCATCTTCCAAATCTGCATCCACTAAGAATTTCTTTCCAGTGTCTTCTACTGAATCTTTCACTAATACCACTCCTCGGTTCTCTAGGAAGACAAAATTGGTTTTATATTATTAACAATTTTTAAGAGAATTGTTTCTTTGAAACTTTTTTCTTTGAAATTTTATTTAAATTGGAAACAATCTTATTTCATATATCAATCCCAATTCCCTCTCCCTCCCATCCTCCAATGCGCCTGCACCAATTCCGGTCCCACCCCTCTTCTGCTGCATAGAAAGGGTGAGGCCTTCCAAGGGGGATCATCAAGGTCTGTCACATAATTTGGGGTAGGCTCCAGGCCCTCCCCCATGTGCCCTGGCTGAGAGAGTAACCCTGTATGGTAAATGGGCTCCCAAATTACATTCATACACTACAGAGAACATACTGTTCCACTACCAGAGGCCCCATAGATTGCCCAGATCTCCTAACTGACACCAAAATTTAGGGAGCCTGGTTTTGTCCTCTGCTGGTTTCCAGGCTGTCAGTCTGGGGTCCATGAGCTCCCCCTTGTTCAGTTTAGCTGTTTCTGTGGGTTTCCCTAGCCTCGTCTTGATCCCTTTGGTCATCACTCCTTTCTCTCTACAACTGAACTACACAAATTAGGCTTAGTGCTTAGCTGTGGGTCTCTGCTTCTGCTTCAGAGGACCAAACTTTTATTAAACTCTATTTATAATGTATTAGTCTGACATCTGGTCATATATACATATATGAATGTGAATATATATATATATTGCTATAGGCCATGAGTCAATTGTCAATGATTCTTTTAGTCTTTAAATGAAATCCAATAACATCCATATGGATGCGTTGATTGTTGATAGTGATATTCTCTGGTAGAAATGAAGCACATATCTACAAATTTGCAGCACACTCTACAGAGTGCATAATTAACTGAATAGAAAAACAGATGTTTGATATTTAGGTATCAACACTGGAAAGTGCTCTCTATATGTAAACGATAAAGTCAGACTGTAAATGTCATTTATTTAAGTGACCAGCATTCACCTCCACGGCAGGCCTGAATGATGATAACTTTTGGCTTGTCTTTCAAGCTTGGGCACTTCAAAGTGTTCAACATTCGAAAGATAGTGTCAACTTTTAAAACATCTGCTACTTTATCGGAATATGACTTCCCACATATTCCTTCCTGGATACCATGGGACATGAATACAAGAAAAGTACTGTCAGAAGTCTTGTGCTCTGGGCAGTCAGCAAATTCCTTCACTGCATTAGCCATCTCCTGGAAGAGAGCAGACAAGTGATGTTAGATGAACTGTCATTTCACTGTGAGATTTCACTAGAAACAGTAAAGGGGGTCCATGAATAATTCTGTGAAAATGAGTGATATGGAAAAGAAAATTTCTAACTTTCAATTTTATGAAAACCAAGGCTATAAAGATTACACAAAGTCATGCTGAGACCATTGAGGTGTTAGGAATATTTTCCAATTAGATGTTATAGGAGACTTTGGCTAAAGCAATGTAGCATATGATAGGCATATGCAATCTTTACTGGCTCCTCACTGAAGGATATCATCATTAAAAACTAGTATTAAAGTTTTCTGCAACTGTAACATGTTTTCTGGAATTATCTAGGGTATAAAAGACATTGTTTCCATATTTTGAGAAATCTTACCAGAGCTGTGAGGTTTTCCTTTTCTTTCACAGTATATCCCAGATCCTGCAGTAGCGACCTCATTTCTCTGAGATCCACATCAGCTCCGTCCCTCCTTGGAAGATATTCAAACTCTGTGTTGCAGATAATGAGAGCAAGACGTGTACGCGTGGATGTATCCATTATAGGGTAAATCTGTATGAAGGGCAGATTGAGTGAACAACCTTGTTTAGTGTAATGTCTAGTTTACGTGCTTACAATCCTTCCTAATTCCTTCCTTTTAGTCCTTTCAAGAAACCAAACTTGTGAAGATTAGTTTAAGAGTAGGAAGGGAAATGAGTGTTAATTCAAGAGCACTGAGGGATTTATGAATACCCAGGTGGTCTCTGAGGATCTACCCTTAACTTTGAAAGTATAATTTTGAAAAACAAAGCTAGGGATGCGTAAATTGTAAAACTGATTCCTCCTAGTTATACTGACTATAAACAGAATATTTACCCATACCTGACTCAGTTTCTTAATCTCTAAAATGGGTCATTTTGAAGTTTATCAGCTTTGTTATATATAAGCATCTAATGTTAGCTATTGATTTCCTCTTGTTATTACTGTATACCAAGGAATTGAACTAAACTCCAAATAAACTTGGGATTCTAGGAGGTAGGGATGTTTAATGTAAGGCAAAGAGCCTCATCGAATCTCTGGGGACACTGCAATGAATTTGGCTCTGACAAAGAACCACCGCCCTTCAGGTTGGCCTCAGTATTTTTCAGCTTGCTCCATCTCGGATTTTGTGCACATCACCTCTGAAGGATTCTCTTTCCGTATCTTTTGGGCTGTTTCTAAGGAGCATAACTTCAGGCTCCCACTTGGTCCTGGACATGTGCCGCCTTCTTTTTTCTGTTCTTCCTTTGTTTCTGTAAGAGACAAAAAAAAAAAAAAAAACAGTTGCAATTAAGCTTGTTGGTCTCACATCAAGTCCCTTCCAGTCTGATTCATGAGTGAAGACAGGTGAGGAACGTGAGTTCATTACCACACTGTACAATGAGATACACACCACTATTGATGGACATATTGCAAGCCAGTGATCCCCAGTGGTGTGATCTGGGACCTATTTTTGGATTAGCATTTTGGTAAACATTTTAGATAACAAAGCATGGAGTATTAAAATGTTTACCATTTATTTTAGAAAGTATTTGAAGCCTAGCATGAGATTTTAGCTGGGGGTGGCAGGAAATATAACTCATTTCATTACATTGACAAATTAAAAAATATGTTCACTTAATTTTTTAAAAATAGGCATCACATCAAGTACATTTTAGAAATGATCCTCTGTCCTCTCTCTCGGGAATCACTTTTTATTGTATGCGCACATTAACCAACGAAGGAACTACATTGAATGTATTTACTAGAATGAAAGGGAAGTAGAATGTAAGTGCTAAAATTAATGGGCAAATTTTGTAAATGCATATAACTCTTTATTGATTGCACAAATCTATGAGGGGGTGTTTTTAAAAACAGTTTCTGTGAGCTTCAGGGGCTCCTATTGGATACCAAGTTCACTATATCAAACCATGTAATGTACGTCTAAATAATTTGATGTACACTTGGTATATTTTCAAAATAGAAATAATTTATTTGGAAACTTTGAGAGTGGAAACTAAGCAATTAAAATTAGGAGATTTCAATTTATTTTAAAAGGCGTTTTGATAAATTGTTGTATGCTTTGCGAGTTAGGCCAAATCATCAAAATGTGTTGGTTGTGGGAAAGAATATAAACTAGTTAGAGTGAATATACTGCAAAAATATGTAAACTACTCATTAATTTGAAAAAAAGATGTCTTGCTTCTGCACAAATAATTCTAATTGCAACAACAAATTAAACAAATGTTTATTATATTAGCAATACCTTTAGAGTAATTAGAGCAATTATATAGAAATGTCACATCACATGAAATATATAATAAAATGTGGATTAATCATCATTAATAGATTCAAGAGAATAATTGAGGTTTTTGTAACACTTGCCTTTCTGATTTTAGGGAAAACATTGTCTTCTGGATGAAATTATTTCAGAACTATGGTGGAAAACCTCTCTTGCAACATGCACTGTTACTCATTTCTTAAGAATGCCTGGGCTTCATTCCATATAGAGGATTACTCCCTGAGCCAAGACACACGGGGGTGGGCCTAGGCCCTATCCCAAAGGATACGATAGACTCTGATGACACCCTATGGAAGGCCTCACCATCCAGGGGGAGCAGAAAGGATATGTGCTAGGTAGGGTTTTAGTTGGGGGTGGTGGTGGTGGTAGGAGAAGACAGGAGGGAGAAGGGAACTGGGATTGTCATGTAAAACAATGTTGTTTCTAATTCAAATTTAAAAAGTTAAAACAAAGTATGCATTGGCTTATTCAAAACTAATATTACCAACAATGTATCTGGTGTGAGCTGATGCATCAGCCTCCATAAGGTGGCATTTCACTGAAGATCACTGAAAAATTAGTGTGGCATTTGGGATGTAAATATTTCCTCTAAAATTGTGTAAATTAAGGTTATTTAGGCTTTATTTTCCTCAGTAAAGTTTGATTGTAAACTCACAGAATCTGTACCCAGTCTGTAAGTTCCCTCACTATGCTCTACAAAGTTATCCTTGTTGTCACCATTCCAGAACACATTCTGTCTGAGTGATCAGTGGTAACCAATAGAAGACATGCATGTATTTGGTGTGGCACATCTAATCTGAGTTTACAAACTCTTGCATAGTCTTCTCACAGTCTCCCGAATGTCTGTCACAAAATCGGTATAAGCACAGTTATGTTAGTGCTGTCTCTTGTAGGTGTATGAGACACAGTGTGGACTATCTCTGGCAAAGAAGAGAGCTGTTTATTCATTGAGAATAACTTTTATAATCTTCATGAATAAGGAACAGCTTTCTCTCATGCCAGAACCACTGTGAATATTGACTTTCTTACTGACTTCCTTGTCTTAATAAGGGTTTGCATCGTAACTGCTATGCCTAAATTGTTGGTAGCTTTAATTATTGATGAAAAAAGTATTAAATAAATGTTCATGTGATATTTATTTATTCAAGTTCAATTCAATCAGAAGTATCATTTGTCATGATGATTACTTTTGAAGATTTTATAGACCAATGTCTAGAGTACAATTGTCGTGTGATAACTATTTCTCTAATGACCAAGAAAATTATAGTTGACACAGATAACCCATAAAGAGAGTGACTGGCATCTACTATATTCTATAAATAACAGGCATGTGATAAGGTGGTAGAGGACTTGAGAGGGGAACCCATTAAAACTTAACCCCACATTGAAAGTGGGAAGGACAGGAAAAGAAATACTAAGAATGCATTTTGAGTTTCACATTTGAACAACTGCTAATGATGTCAGCATTAGCTCAGGAAGAGGAAACTGAAAAGAAGTAGAATGGGGAAGTTAATCTTTGGGCGTGTTTGGAAATACATGTCCAAGGGAGACGTGGATATGTGCACTGGGCACTTGAGTGGTAATCTTGAATACCCAACTAGGTAGTTAAGACTTGAGGCACAAACTCAGAAAGTTTTAGTATAAATACAGTTGGTGAGGCCATAAGAACTGCTCTTGCTCAAGCAAGATATGTAGATAAGATGAGGCAAATCAAAGAATCAGTGCCTTGTAGTTACTCATAGCTCCTCACGCTGGTTTATCCAATGAAGATGATAGTCAAAGGGATGATGTTCTAAAGAGCCTTCTCACTTTGCAAGCATGTGTACCTGAGGAAGAAGGATATCCTCCCTGGAAATCATCCGTTCTCATGGAATTTTCAGCTGGTGGACCTGAAGAGAGACAAAGGAAATTAATTCACCATTGTAAGATATTCCTTGATGATACAATGAGTTTGAAGCCACTGTGAACTACACAAGACCAGGTAGAAAGACTATGAGCAACAGAGACAGGAGACATGCAAATAAGGTCATTGACATTAAAATGGGACTCTGGAGTCTGAGGTGAGGGAGTTGTCTTCAAATCACATGAAAAATATGTGAAGCAGACTTTGGTTATTAAAAGGTTTTGACTTTCAACATAGTCTGAAATCCAGGCTCTTACCGGATTCCAGCTCCAGAACTCCCGCCAGGTAGCAGTCTTCTTTACAAATGTAAGTGATACAGATTTGGCTTGCTAGAGGCCCCTTTTTAGTGACAGAATCACACAGGTCCCTTGCCTTGTCCATGACAGTGGCATTTATACATTTTATTCTCTCCATCTCTTCCTGGTTCAGCACATTCTTCTCCAAAAGTTCATCCAGCAAGCCATTTATTGTCCCTGCACCCACTGAACGGATGAATTGTTTCCTTTTTGCCCTGAGGATGTTGTCTGTTTAAGACACAAAGATTTCTCAAGTCAGGAAAACAGCCATGTGCACCTTTCATGTTGGAAAGAGGGTAGGAACTCTTTCAGAGTGAATCAATACCATGACTCCTTCACACACATCACTTCCCTTTCTTTTTGCTATCTGCTGTCTGTTTCCCCTTAACATTGCACAAGAACATAGAGAAAGGCAGGAATATCAAGCTACTGTCTTTCTCTTAGAACTAAGGAAGCATAAACACTCATTCCAGTTTCACATGTTCTCAAATCAGATTAATAAACAAAGACATAACAATAAAACATATTCCTTTGCAGACTCCATACCTGTCACTCATCTGGTTCTCTCTGTCAGACTAGGGCCATGTAAGAGCTAAGATTGCAAAATGATGGCCGGATACAAGTAAAGCGCCATTTCCTTTCTGGCCGTGGCCTTTGCTTTATATGGCTTTAAAAATCTAGTGTGCAGACTTCTTCCCCACAGCCTCCCCTTTTCCCAGAAACAGCTCTCCTAAATATCTGCAGAAGCTGATGACAGCATCCAGAAAAGCCCCTTCCCAAATGACTTATTCTCCAGACCAGCCCGTTTAGCAACAGGGAAAACTCACCAGCCATGGCTTTCCTCTCCTACCATCCGCATCTACTGAAACTGAAAGTTCTTTCAACCAGGGCGTGTATGCAGATTGAGAAATAGCCACTATTCATGTGTGCACATGACTCTTGCCCTAATTAAACTTACCCTCTACAACTCAGGCTTGGCAAAGAGTAAATTTTGGAAATGATCTTTCCACAGTTCCTGGGATAGCTGCTGGGAGGAAGGAAGTATGTCTTAGTATTAAAAAAAAATGAGCTGGGAGAAAGCAACAAGTGGGGGCAGGGAAATTAGGAAAGAATTGTTGAAGTCACAGGATAAGGGAACGGGGTGCAGGGAAGGCTGCTCAGGTGATCCTTCTGCAGAGCTGGGGATGAGACTGGGAAATGGAGCTGTAGATCAGAGGGAGAAGACATCTGCCATCAGCTTACCTGATTTTTCTGGCCTGTAAAGACCTTTGGGTTAGCAGGGGTGCCAGCTGGAGGTGAGAGCTGGAATAAAGCAGGCAGTGATGGAAGGGAGCTGGGTCGGGGATGGTCTGCGGGATCCACAGGAAATACAGGCTTAGGGGTAGTACAGGGAGGGGAAGCTGCAGCTGGAGGTCAGTTGCACAGACAGGGATGAGCCTGGAGGATTGGATTTGGATTGGGGCAGGGAATGGTGAAGGTCTTCAGTTGGCCTTCCCCTGGCCTACTCGACTGGGGTGTTCACAAGGAATGCCTGCCTGCTGTTGTCTGGGGCTGCGATAATGGAATGAATCTTAGAAAGGAAGATTGGGGGAGAAGATCTTTGTGATGGATTGTGGATGGGGACAGAGGAAGAGGAAAAGGCAGCAGGTTTTCTGGTAAAGGGCTGGGAATGAGATCTGGAGTTGGATCTGGAGGAGGAGAAGGAGAAGTGTGGATCCTCAGTCTGACTACTCAGTTCCCTGGCAGGAGCAGCCCTTGCATTTACAGGGGATGCCTGCTGAGGGTGTGGGCTGGGACAAAAGGGAATGAGGAGTTTCTGTAAGGACACATCCATGCCTGTTCCGTCATCAAAACCACAGCTCTCATTTTAAAAGTATAAAAGATGGTTTATCCGAGGCAGTTTTAGGGCCCCTGGCCCTGGAGCACAGATTTAGTTACCCCGATTCCCAGTTCCAAAATAGAAGGAGATTCATGAAGTTTCTCTTCTCTTATATAATCAAGACAGTCACAAACAAAGGCATGTTTAAAGACACTAGGGAAATGTCCAGGGATACACAAGGATGACCCCAAATAAGAATCTAAGCAATAGTGGAGATGTTACCTTAAATGCCCTTCCCCTATAATGAGATTGATGGCTACCGTATATGCCTTCCTAGAGCCTTCATCCAGTAGCTGATGGAAGCAGAAGCAGGCACCCACAGCTAAGCACTGGAATCCAGTTTTAGATCGGGAGTAGTGATGAGCACTAAAGGGTCAAGACCATGCTGGAAAACGCACAGAAACAGCTGACCTGAGCAAGTAGGACTCAGGGACTCCAGACTGACAGCTGAGAAATCAGCATAGGACCACCCAGGACCTCTGAATGTGGGTGTCATTTAGGAGACTTAGCAAGTCTATGGGAACTCTGGCAGTGGATCAGTAATTATCTCTAGTTCACAAATGGACTTTGGGAGCACATTCCCCTTGGAAGGATACTCTCTTAGCCTAGACACATGCCCCAAAGGATATGACAGACTTTGATGATCCCCCATGGAAAGCCTCACCCTCCCTGGGGAGTGGATGGGGGGTGGGTTGGGGGATAGGTGGTGGACATGGGAGGATCGGAGGCAGAAGGAACTTGATATGTAAACAAGATTTTTCTAATTTAAATAAAAACGACAAAAAATAAGTAAAACACATTGTTGAGTTTAGCAGCTACACTTAGATGGGGAAAGCTTTGAGATAGTCCTAAACTGCTGTGTGAGGACAGTCTATGTTTCGGATGGTAAAATCTCAAGTTCTCTCAAGGCAATAGTTTCTAATAGGTTTTTATTTATTATTACTAAGTGTTACTTCAGATACATAGTGGGGCAAGGGACGGCTGTTCCAGAAGGCTAAATTTAGTCAAACATTAGGAATTATATTCTGATCCTACAAAATTCCAATTTTTCCACATTACAGAAATTCCAATTGGTCCATCAATCTTTGCAGACACAGTATTTCTTCCAGTAGTTTTTTTATTCACATCCAGACATAGCTTCATTTTGGATATTTCCTTTTATAATTGCAATTAGATGACTTAGTTCTTTGCTTCTTATGTTTTGTTTCCTGTAATCCACACATTCAAGGAATATAAGTTTCTTTTAAAATATTAAGAGAAAGAAATGACATTCAACTATGCTGCACCCATATGACTGAAGTTTCAACTGTGATAGACAAACTCCCCACTCACATTAGAAGATGCAGTGTAGAGAAACAGAGAGATCTAGAAAATTAACTTCATTGAGGACTTTTGTCATGGAAACATATGACAGTATAGAAGCAGGCATGCAGAATCTTGTGGTAACTGAGAGGTTAATTGATTGATTGTATTGCACACATGAGGAAATAATAAAAATTGTGCCACAATTTGAACTTTTTTTTATCACAGGGTTCCTCTGTGTAGCTTTGTAGACCAGGCTGGCCTCGAACTCACATAGATCCACCTGCCTCTGCCCCCTGAGTGCTGGGATTAAAGGCATGCACCACCACCGCCTGGCTCACAGTGTAAATTTTGAGTTGAGGTGTAATCCTAGCAAGTTTTATGTCAACTGGACCCAAGTTAGGATCATCTGAAAAGACAGAACCTTGAGAAAATATGTCTACAAGGTTGGGCTGCAGCAAGCCCATGTACATTTTCATTCTTAGTGATGGGATCACTCAATCTGTTGTGAGTGGAGCCATCCTGGGTTGATGGTCCTGTGATCTATAAGAATGCAGTCTGGGCAGGCCATGAGGAGCAAGCTGGTATGCAGCATCCCCCCATGGCACTTCATCAGCTCCTGCATATTAATTTATGCCTTGTTTGAATTCTTTTCCTCCATTTTTATTCCTCCTGTTATGATAAGACAACTTGCCAAAGTTCATTTGTGTGGAAAACGATTTTCTTTACCAAATACTTCAGTTCATTACTGAAGAAGTGTCAAGAACTGAGAATTAGTACAAGGATACTTTCTTGCCTATTGGGATTGAGGCACCATTCTCTCTCTTACACTGTTTTTACACTGCCTGTGAAAAGGTACCACCCACAGTAGATTGCATCTGCCTACATCAATGAAAAAATTTGACAGTCCACCTTATCCACCTGGATAAAATATAATATTCTGTTAAAACTTTCCTCCGAGGTAATCTAGATAGGGGAAAATTGAGAGTCAAGATGAACCAGCCCATAAGACAAGAAAGAATTCAAACATTGGATAAATAAAAAAAAGGAAGAAACAAAGAAAGGAAGACTTAAATTTTCCTGGATGTTTAGTTCTTACCCTGGGAGAGTTCCAGAACTCCTGCCAGGTAGATGTCTTCTTTACAAATGAAGTTGATAAAGATTTGGCATGCCTTGGGACCTTTCCGAATGACAAAGTCACACAGGTCCCTTGCCTTTTCCACAATAGTATCTTTTGCAAGTGTTATTTTCTCCATTTCTTCCTGGTTCATCACTTTATTCTCCAAAAGTTCATCCAGCAAGCCATTTATTGTCCCTTCTCCCACTGAACGAATGAATTGCTTCCTCTTTGCTCTTAGGATGTTGTCTGTTTAAGAAACAAATATTTCTCAAGTCAGAAAAACAGTCCCAGTTACTCTTCTCATCATGAAGACCGTATGTCTGCTTTCAGACTGAATCAGCAAATTTCACTTTACTCTATCCTAGTTGTGTGTCCGTATTTCCCCTTAACATTCCCCATATATGCACACAGGGTAAGGGGCAGAGTCTTTATTAGGATCCAAGAGGAATCCATCTTTTTCTGTCCCATGTATATTCAGATTAATAAAATTAGAAATGAGTGTAACTCAGTTTATTTGAGGGCAACTGTCTCTATCACTCATTCCATTCCCTCTGTTAGATATGGGCATTTAAGACTTAAGATTACAAAATGACAAAGGGATGCCAGTAAAACACAGTTCATTTCTGCATCTGACTTTGCTTCCTATGTCTTCCAGATTTTTCTGTGCATATTTTCTTCCTAATATACTCCATTTTTCCTAGATTTAGCTTGTCTAAACATCTACAGAATCCAATGATAGCTTCCAGAAACCTTAGCCCCTTTGCAAACTATTTAGTCACTACCTCAGCTCCCTTTACAATAGGGAAAACTCACCAGCCATGGCTTCTCTCTCCTATCTTCCAGTGGAATTGGAATTGTAAACAGGTTCCCGGGTTCTTTATACCAAGGTGTGTATGCAGATTGAGAAATAAGCATTGCTCATGTATATGGATCATTTCATGCCTGAATGAAACTCATTCTTCTGGAGTAAGTTACCAAAGAAGTCAATCACAGAAATTACTCTTCCTCAGCACTTCAAATAGCTTAGTGTAGGAGATGATTGGATGTGATGGAAAAAGAAAGGAAAGGCAAGGTGATGATTTTGTGTGAAACTTATAGAATAATGAATTATTTTTATTAAAGTATGACCCATGTGCTGGTAAATTTTTACTGTCAACAAAACTTAGAATTACCAGGGAAAGTCTTGCTGTAGAATAATATATATTAAATTTGATTGGAATGTAGGTGGAATTTCATGATTTTTAAAGACTGAAGGAAGATCTTGTTCAGTGTCGATAGCATTGTTCCTGAGTCAGAGGTTCCTGAATGGTGTAAGAGTAGAGAAAGCTAGTTGAGGTGAAGAAGCTATCACGTATGTGTCCATAGATCTTTGCTGTGGACAGTTGCAGATGTGTGCTGACAGTAATGTGTGACATGTGATGGGGAATGTCTTCTGTACATACGTTTATCTTATTGGTTGAGAAAACACTGTTGGCCAATAGGGCAGAAACTGCCATTAGCCAACCATAGAGGTCTGGAGGTCCATACAGACAGGCAGGAAGTGACTGACAAAGCTGGGCAGAATCAGAATATAAGCAGGGACAAACAGAAAATCACTCTCTTCTCCTCTCTGTGGAGAGGAGATGTGATATAGACCTCAACGGAGTAAGAGACCTGGACCTTTT